AGAGAGTTGCAGTTAGAGTTGGAGAGACGCAGACAGAGTTGAGCTGTGAGCTCTGAGACCAGCCTCGGAGGAAGCTGACTGAAGATCCACGCATTCCGACTTCAACTTCTAACCAAGAACAATTTATTTTTGAAGAACGACTTAGACTCACACCACCAAAACAAGTTTTACGAATATCACCTGAAGATACAAAAACCAGTTATCGAAAAACAACTTAATATATTAAGACTCGCCTAACAGGCGCAAAGTGTCACGTATCCATATTAGCCGGTTGGGAGAAAGATGCAGTCCTGTATTCAGCAACCTGATATAAAAAAATATTTGTTATTCTTTTTTTAACACATTTGAACTTTTCGAGTTGTTACTTTATTTTCTTTTACATATACTTGTGCGGTGTTACCTTTACTCGGACTCGGCTTGCATTACGGCTCGGCGACTGATTGATTTCAAAACGTGGGTAGGTTAGACTAGAGGTCAAAGCAGTTACTTCGGTAACCAGACGTTGGAGGCGAGCTGGGAACGACAAAGTTGATACCGAATCTAACCAGATTCCCATCCGAATCAGCCAAGGGTTAGAACGTCACATTTGGTGCCGTGACAGCCGGATCACGTCACATTTGGTGCCGCGACCAATACCAAGTCACATTGGTCGTCACAGGATAGCACGCGGGGGGTGCAGAGAGAGGACAAGGGTGACGTCACAGATATTTTACACATGAAATGTAATGAGAGGTCATTTACGAATAACATTATTATGTAAAGTCAATGTCATAACTGAATTAAAATGAATTTACTTCATTATTTTTAGATATTTTAAACAACCCTAGTTTTTGTGGTCGTTTTTAAAGTCTTTCTATAATCATTAATAGTACAAATTACAAAATCAATCAGCATTACAGCACTTAATCTATTTCTAAACGAAAAATAAGTTGAGGTTTATTTTGTTTCTTGTCATATTTTTTGCTTCAGAATTTATATTTGCGATAAGTTTATTTTATAGAGGCGTTTTAACATTGATAATTAATTTAAGTTTAAAATATTTAAATCATATTTTGTATAGTCTTGTTAACGGGGTGTGATGTGATGCATCCGAAGATTGACCGATTTATATATATTCATCCTAATAAGAATTAAGACAAGAAAAAGAGAAAAGAAATATAAATAAAAAAAAGAAAATGCAAAAAGAAAATGCAAAAAGAAAAGAAAAATGTAAACAAAAAAAGTAAAGGAAAAAGAAATCAAAAACAAACCAAAAAATATACCAAGATAAAGAGGAATTATGTTTTCCAACTAAATTGATTATTGAATTTCTAAAGTCGACTAGAGCAGCGATGTACCACAAAACCAAACCGAAACAAAAATCTTCGCTCCTAATGCAACGACGGGATTTGAGATAGACCTCCAGTTCTGGATGCACTATGACATGTTCTTTAGTTAAAAAAAAACGATCACTAAAATTTAATAAAACTTAAAATGCATTACATTCAGTTATAGAAATTTTAACGTCTCTGCGATCTTATGAAGGATAACATAAGATTGGAACTTACATTGAATATTCTCAGCAGTTGTATGAATTGAAGTAATATTAAATTGCATACTGTTTTTCAGAGCAAGATTATGCAGAGTTATTCATATTTAGATATATCTCTGTTATCTTGCATATATATATATATATATATATATATATATATATATATATATATATATATATATACATGTATGCATGGAGGTCTATGAGAATGTGAGGCAATTATGGCAATCCTAATGCTATTGGTAATATTAGTCGTTCATTTACAAGGACCCAATCGGCATTTATTGACTGTGCAGTCAGTGCAATTTTCGGATGAAATTTATAGAATCATTTTATTAAAACATTTTTTCCGGAAAATAGGTTTCTCAATTCAAGATATTTTATTGCTCATTCCAGTATTGAAGGGGTTTGCTCCCTTGCTTTTTGTTTTGGGTTGTGGGAACGTCAGCATTTTGATTATGTCAATTTTTTCCTTCAAGTCACATGCGATATCAATTTTAATTGTTGTTGCTATAGAATGTCCTCAAGTGACGCGGTTTCCGTTATTTCCTAGAATTATTTGTTTGCGATTCTTTTGTACCAGTCCATAAGGTCCAAAGAAGAATGGACTTTACTAAGACCTCGAAAGAATGCATCTTTTGTGGGGATTTGAAAGTGTATATTTAATACGACTTATTTCAGTGCTCGGTCGTATACCTGATGAGGACTAGATATCTCGCGGACACTTCGTCCATTCAAAGCCATTTCCGTTTGTAGAAAGGTATGATCATCGCTTGACAAGAGGAATTATCTAACTACTATCTATATTTCTCATGTTGTCTGTTTGTGTGTCTGTCGTGGGTGTTGTTACTTCGCCCAGGCCGCATTTCTCACCCGATTTCGATGCGGTTTTCACCACAAGTTTGCAAATGGCTGGCGTAAGGACACGACGGAGCCCGATTTCTGAGTTCGGACTCAGGTTCCGAAAAATCGATAATCGGAAAAATCTGTTTACAGAAGGATTGATCGCATTTCAACCAAATTTGACACCCTCTTAGAATCTACCATTAGAAGTGTTGTCCAGAAGTTTCTTGACCACGGACCCCTAAACAAATCGATAAAACCCCCAAACCGATACGCCCAGATTGTGCCTGAACCCCATGTCGGTTTTCGGCTTTATGAGGAGGCCATTGAGTGTCACCATCTGAAGTTTAAACTCTGAGCGCCCCCCAAACAGAATGCAAATCGACAGTCTGTCAACCCTTAAAAATGTTTTTCCGGTTGGGTATTTCCTAAATGCAGACTAATTTAAGCTCATGCTATGCGCGGGAAGAAACAGGTCAGTGTGTGCAGTGGAGTGGAAGAAAACATTTGACCTCAAATTCTGGAATGGGTGCAGGGCCATTGAAATTCGGCTTTTTTATCCGTGCTACCAGGTCTGACTTTGAGCCACAAATGACATATTCGACTTTGTCAACACTTCCTTTAATCGTCACATCTTACCAAAATAAGCACTTCCTTTATTCGCGTCTTTACTGAAAAAAAAAACCGCATACTTTTCCCCTAGCCCAGGCCGCATCCCATACTTGACGAGGAGTTTTGTGCTAAAACAGCAGGGCTTCTTCCCAATCCATTTCAAAGCTAATGCCGGCAAACGGTTAGCGGCTTTTCGTTGTCGCACAAACCAAACGATCAAACGCTTCATTGCAGCTCCTTGCATTCTCATCGCCGGCATCACGTGCGTTAGAGCCAAGCTGCATATGCAGCAGGAAGCTTGACCCCGTTTACGGCCAAGCCTTGCGCTTGCCAAATCATGCGTGCGTGCGTGAATGCGCGCTAGCATCTTCCATTTTGCGTGGGTTCATACATTGGTCTAAGTCATGGCCATTGTCCAGGCTACACCAATCAATGACATGTCGCGCTCCCTTTAAATACCTTCAGCGCGGCTGCATCCGCACTCACGTCTTGATTTGATCGCCATTAACACATCTGTCCTTGGATTAATTGACAGCTTCCTGCTACTGCAAGTTACCTATTTGCTTAAACGTTTGCATTACCCTTTTATCTCCGTGTGTTGCCTCTACTGCGCAGCCCAGTCCACCTTAGCGTTCCATACCTATTTCTACCATTTCGTAGATCAGTTTTGCTCTTAGACAGCTACCTGCTGTCGCAAGTTATTTATTTACTCAATCGTTTTACCCAACCTATTTTACCTCCACGTTAGTTTTCACTGTAAGTTGAAGTGTTCTGCCTTTACTACACGGCCCAGTACACCTCAGCACTTCACTGCCTATTTGCTTAAACGTTTGCATTACCCATTTTATCTCCGCCTGCTGCCTTTACTGCGAAGCCCAGTCCATCTTAGCGTTCCATACCTATTTCTACCTTTTCGTAGTTCAGTTTTGCTATTAGACAGTTAACTGTTGTCGCAAGTTACTTCTCTTCTGCCTTTACTACGCGGCCCAGTACAACTCAGTGTTTCACTACTTTATAACCTTCAACGCGTCAACGTTTTGGTTGCATAACGTCTTCCTACAGCGACGTTTTCGTGCTGCCAGAAAGCACGGCCTATAACTAGGAGAAGCGTTTTCCATACGGCTCCATTGCATTTTTAGTTTTCGTATACAACGAAGTTGCACCGCTTCAGCTTCGGCACCAACTTCTGTTCGAATTCTTACACAGCATTTCTCCAACCATTCAAATAGCTCTTACACGACGAACATTTGCACGTCAGCAACTGAAGACCCCTAATACCGTTAACGTTACACATACAGAATAGGTGACTGAGCAGGAGCACATAATAACTTCGGTTACAGATGATCATATAGCGTCTACTTCAACCTCTGCTTTGCACTCTTCTGCGTGCTGTGGCGATGACCATCCGGCAGCTCCGCAAAGACTGCAACACCCAGGCGAGGCATCCTTAGCAGGTGTTCTAAGAAGGCCTCACCGGCTAAGGGGAAACGGGAGCAGGATTCCATTGAGTGCGCCTCCTTGGGGGAGGAGCGGCTGGCGTCTACTTCAAACTCTGCTTTTCACTCTTTTGAGTGCCGTGGCGATGACGACCCGGCAGCTTTGCTAAGCGTGTCAAAATACCATGGCGAGGCAACCTTAACAGGCGTTCTAAAAGAGCCTCTGCGGCAAAGAGAAAGCGGGAGGTGGAAACCGAGGTAGAGGCCTCTTTGAGGCTTTCCAGTCAATCTCAACGTTGTCAGTATGTTTTGTCACATGAAACGCTTGGTGAGCGTAACTACCGTTTGTACTGCAAATCTGTTTACACATATTCGTTGAAAAGTAAGAGGAAACTACCTAAACGCTTACAAGACAAGCGCTTTTGCGTTCTCGACTTAGCCCGCATCGAAAAGCGACTTGCAATGCAGCCGACGCCGCTGCAACTTCCATTCGTCGGTCATAGGAGACTACGACTGAGAAAACCGCACGTAACACAGCGAAAGCTGCGGCAACGTCCATTCGACGGTCCCAGGAATCCATGGCTGAGAAAACCGCACGACATGCAGCCGACGCCGTTGCAATTTCTGCTGCAAGGGCGTCGGAAAGTTCTGCGCAAAAGCGCATAATGCGGCAACGCGATGCAATTTCAACTTCCGCTGCTAGAGCTGTAGAAGGACCTACTGAAAGGCTTGAAAGGTTGAAGACTGTTAACCAGCTCCGCCATGCACAGCGAGGGCTCTGTAACTCACCAAAGCAGTTTTGGTTTAAGCTGGCGTTCAAATATGAGCCAGTTTTGAGGCTTTCCGGTCGCAAAGACCTCCAAATAGGATACACGTCAGTTGTTTGTGGGCATTGCAATGCTAAAAAATGTACTGGAGAGTCTGCAGATTTGTGTTGTTCAGACGGTAAGGTACAGTTGCCACCTTTTCAAGAGCTACCTGCTCCGTTGAAAGCTCTGTTGGAGGGTTCCAGTCCAGACTCCAAACATTTCCTCGCAAAAATCAGACAGTACAATTGTTTCTTCCAGATGACCTCTTTTGGTGGTAATGCCTTCCGTGAAGTCGGATGGAATCCCACCTTCAAGGTTCAAGGTCAGGTTTACCACCGGATTGGGTCTCTTTTGCCGAAAACTGCCACTGATTCGGCCTTTCTAGAAATATACTTCATAGCTGACTACAGTCAACGGGAAAATGCCCGCATTGGTATTATTCCCGAGAACGATACAGGCCAGGACAATCATCCTCGCAGGGATATCATAATGAGTCCCCAACAAATGCTCCACGAGACAAACAGCTATGTCCGCGGTTTTAAGTATGCTCTCGAAAATAACACTTCTTCTGATTTCATTATTGTAAGTGATGATGACAAACGGCCTCAGTGAGAGCACGAACTTCGTTACAATGCTCCCGCAAGTAACGAAGCTTCCGTCATTGTCAGCGGTGATCAGCACAACAGACGTGACATTGTTATCGAATCGTGCGGCAACTTTTCCATCAATTCATAGTAGACATAGCTGCTAAGATGGAACCCGAAAGACTCTGTCATGCGTTACGAAATGACGCTGATCCACGCAATATAGGCAACATGTGCATACTACCTGCAACGTTCACAGGTAGTCCACGATACATGCACGCGAGGACGCAAGAGGCGATAACATACGTTCGTAAGTACGGCCGATCAGACCTATTCATAACTTTCACGTGTAACCCAAAATGGTACACAATTGCTAAAGAACTTATGCCAGGGAAGTCAGCCGACGACCGTCCAAACCTCATTGCGCGCGTTTACCACCTGAAGTTGGGAAAGCTAATGGATGTGATTACAAAGGGCCAGCTTTTGGGGGCTGTTTGCTGTTGCATGCATACTATTGAGTGGCAGAAACGCGTCGTGCCTCACGCACATATACTAATTTGGCTGTGCGACAAGATTGAGGCCACAGTAATCGATCATCTCATTTCTGCTGAAATTTCTGATCCGTCGGCTGACCCTGAATTGTACGAAATAGTGACAAACAACATGATTCATGGTCCCTGCGGGTCGCATTACAATTACACCAGCTGTCACAACAGCGTCGGCAAATGCACCCGGCAGTACCCACGAGATTCCGTGAGCGAAACCGTTACAGGGAACGATGGTTATCCACTGTACCGGCAAAGGAGTCCCGCTGAGAGATGATTTACAGCCGTGGAAAAGGGCCAGCAAGTGGATAACAGATGGGTAGTGCCCTACTGTCCTATGATAACAAAAGCGTTCAATGTGCACATCAATGTCGTATATTGCCCTTCAGTTCGTTCCATCAAGTATGTATGCAAATACATCAACAAAGGAACTGATGCTGCAATGTTTGGTATTAGGCAGGAAGGTTTCGTAGACGAAATCCAGGACTTCCTTGCAGGGCGCGTCATTGGCAGCACAGAGGGCCCTTGGCACATATTCAGCTTCCCCATCCACGAACGCAACCCAGCAATCGTCCAGCTTGCTGTGCACCTAGAAAACGACGAACTTCGTTATTTTTCTGCGGATACAGCAATGGATGTGGCTGCGCGTACCAAAGACACAACGCTTACAGAGTTCTTCAAACTTTGTCGGCAGGACGAGTTTTCTAGGAATCTACTGTACCCAGACGTGCCTTCATACTACGTGTGGACGAAAAAAAACACCTGGACTCGGCCATAGGAGTTGAGCTCCTCAACAGAGTACGATGTCTCCCACACAATCTCAGGTGAGAGACTGGAGGAAGCCACACGATCTGGCGTTGGAAGCCCAATAGCGGCGAGAGATTTCAACAAACAGGTTCTCAGTGATTATAAGCGCCCTGTTGTAAATTTCATCGTTGAATGTAAGAGACATTGTTGGACACAGCGGTTCCTACAGTGGTCACAACGCCAGCAACACTCATAGAATCAGCTTTTCCTGATCTTCAAACCAAGTACAACAATATTGAGTGCCTTGCTGGGCGGGCAATTCTTGCCCCAAAAAACACCACTGTGACAACCCTTAATAGACAGCTTCTGGAAACTGTGCCAGGGGTGTTGCACGTTTACAAATCCATTGACAGAACTCTAGACCCCGCTGAAATGGCGAACTTTCCAGTGGAGTTCTTAAACTGCCTCCACCCCGCTGGTCTCCCTCCTCACATGCTGGAACTTAAAGTGGGGATCCCGGTTATGTTGCTTAGAAACCTGCGTCCACCAAACTCTGTAATGGGACCAGGATGGTTATTGAGGTCCTACACCCAAATATTATTGAGGCCAAAATTATAACTGGCTGCAATTTTCTTACATGGAAAGGGAAAATGGAATGGAATTTGCTGAGGACTGACTGAGGACTTCAGTGTAGACCACATTTCCAGCTTTTTGTGAGGGTGAATAAAGGAACACATCATCGCGCCTGCCGACTCGAGAGCAGGCTACGTAAAGTTGGCCGTATGAGAAGCACTGCTCCTCTAAGTGTACACCAGTGACAGACAGTGTTTGTCCTTGGGCCGTATTAATTGTCATAGCAAAACAGGGTGCCAATGAGAATGGGGATCTTCTGAAAGTGAAGGGTACATCGGCATCTGATGGGTACAAATGCATCCTTTGGATAAGCACTTGCTCCCCTTTACCGCATTAGTGTGAAGCATTGAACTCATCGCCGACTAATTTATATTTACAAGCATCAATTGTCTCTCCTCACATCACCATACCATATGTACAGAAATGAATGATCCGACCAGATTACGTGCCCTTTAAAACATGCGTGCGAGACCCTTTCGTGCTTCAAAAAATCGATAAAAAGCTCCGGTTCGACCCTGCCATCAGCTGTCAGTTTTTGACTTCTTTTCACGCCCAGGCTGCAATTAACGTTAAATGTCGATTCAACTTTCGACATTTACGGCGTCAATTTGTAACGGAGACAGATTTTCAATTTGGACTCAGGCTTTCAAAAAATTGGCAAATCGGCTAGTACTCCGGTATTTGTGCGGATTACATTCTAAAATTTCGGGCGTTCTTTACAATTCAACCAAAAATACTTCCGCGGCCCAGTTAGAGGTGCCTTGCATAGAATGCCGTGTGACCCCGTCGTGACTCAGTAATCGATACAAACCTCCGTGTTGACCATGCCCTCAGCAATCCATTTCCCACTTCTTTAAACTTTGTTCTTTCTCCCAGGCCGATTTTTCATTTTATGTCATTCTGTCAGGCCGGAGCCCGATTTTTTATTTGGGACTCAAACTTTGTAAAAAAAAAACGATTAACTCACAGGTCATACAGAATTTTGGGGGTTTTAAGTTGAATGTCTCGCCTGCACTACGCGGTCCAGTACATCTAAGCTTTTCACCTCATTTTGGACTCTGTGCAGTTGATATCGCGTTGTTAAACACTTTTGAGCTCTTTTTATTTGAACTTAAAATCGGATCAATGTATGGTTTCGAAAGTACCGGATTAACAAAACAAAGGCAACAACAACACCGCCCAAGTAGTATGACCGGTCTCAATATTTCAGGAAACTGGGTTGTGTGTGAAAAAGTATTTGTTGTTAACAGTCTTTTTTCATTCGGTTTTTCCAGTTACGAGTCCTTTTTTAAAGCTGATCGTTTTTTGTTCATTTTGTTTAGTTCTTTTTTCGTAACAGATTTAATGTTTAGTATAGAGCTTAGAAATAATTCGCAGTGTGAGATAGGCAAGAAGTAAGGCATGTAGCAATATCAGCACGGCAAAAGGGCACTTCTTTAAAGGCAAGGAAGGGCAAAAATATTTTAAGTCAAGTGATAGCGATTGCTGTTTGAGTCGCACGATTTCGAATCAAGCACGGGCAACACTTGGCCATGCTGTTATATTTTTTATTATTAAATATGTTAAATATTATTAAATATGTGAATGGATGATTTGGGTAATGCGAATGAAGGAAATTTGTGGACGTACACATCTATTTAAGCAACAGCTTTTTTCTAAACTTTGAGTGTGAAAGAAGTTTTGTCCGATATTAGCAAAAGGTGTATGAATGCCATACATTTGTATCGTGTGCTAGCAGCTAACATCGACTGGTAACTTAAAAAAACTGTTTAGGTAATTTTTATGGTTGAAACTCTCTGCTCAAACTACTTTAAGTAGTAATTTTAATTTTACTTCTTCGGGTGACACAAGGTAGAATTTATCAACGATGTAAGTTCATTATTTACATAAGTTCGTTTCGCTTTTTTCCATATCAATCATCGGTCGGTTAACTAACATTATCTGCTATATTATATTGTGAAATGGATGTCGCGCCATGAATTTTTTTCCCTTTATACATGCTTTCTGTAAAAAGAGCGAATGTGATCTTTTTCGTGGTTGTTGCATTAACGAATGAGAATAAATTATTATGATATTATATAGTGATGGGAGTAATGAAAATTATTTTGGTTATTAAATGCGATTAGCTTAATTAATGTGATTATAGTGAAGACAAACCTCTCCACACCACAATTTTTGGACTTGTGTCAATTTTTATGCATTAATTACAAAAATAATTGTATGAAAACCAGCTTGGCTTCTCAAGGCCATGTGATTTAAGGCAGTTCGAACAGACTATTATATTACTGAATAGCTGACGAAAACATTACGCCACCCACACCGTGAAAATCCTGAAGGAACTTGACTAGAGGCCTCGCTCACATCACATTAATATTAAATGCAGTAAATTCTAGATGCAGCTCCAGCAGGTCAGTTCACCGTTATTTAGCTACCATGAGATATGGCAAAAGAAGACTCACCAGGGTGCCTATATTGTTTCCTCGGGTTCTGATATGAATTTACTAACATTTTACATATATTAAATAAAATGTTATAGAAATTACATTTTAAGGCAATAATAACTGGAAAACCTATTAGAAAGCATATGGTACTTCATCTTCTTACATTTTAAGTTCGCATTCTTTCTCTTTTTTTCTAATAAATGAAAGAACTCCAGCTCGGTATGAAAGACATAAGTAAAAGAAAATGGTTAACTTTTTCAGGTAAGACGTGTTATAACAATCAGTTACATTGAAATTTTCATTAACTTTAATAAGCTGGTAAATGGCCAAATGTATAACCGTTTTAAAGGCTCGGGGATTAGTGATGTATTTTTACAGGTTGCTCAACCTTTTCCTTGTATATTATGTTCTTTATCGATTGTGATTTTATCCAGATGTTTCATTTGCTCAACGCGGTTAAATATTATCCGACAAAATGCCGCAGAAAAATCTGCACGAAGACTTCAATGTATGAGCTGAGAAAGATTTTGTCTTGTAAAGCGAAAATTGATTTCTCTTTCTAGTTAAATCATTTAAATTTTCTTAGACTTATGAATTCAGTGATAAAATTCTTATCTTTACAGCTATTGTCTGAAATGTGTTCGTTTCAGATCGTTTTCCATAATATACGGGACAATCGAAATCATCAATAATGTATGAGACTGATAAGGAAAGTATTTGTGTTACGATTCTATTTGCCCGAGTTCATAAGATAAATTAAAGCTAAACATACGTCGTGATTCGATACTCTTATCATTAAATATTCTATATTTCTTAAAGAAAAAAAGTATTTTTATTTTAATTAATTACATTAAAATAATATATGCAAAGTGTATTTCTTAAAACACCCATTCATTGACTTCAGGAGTTCACGAGTTCTTGATAAAAGTTCGGCTACACTGGAAGTTGAAATGTTTTTTAATGTACTTCCAAACCTTATCCAACATGTGTGCAAAATTATTTTAAATAAAATAACGAAAAGGTTCAAATACAGAAATAAGGAAAATAACTTCCCAGGTAGTTAAATCTCTTCCATGAAACGTCAATATGTCACGAACCAGATTAACTGTAAAATACATGCAGAAGATGAGTAAACACGCGTATTTTACTCGACTAATTGAAGCTGGTTTTAAGATAGAGATACTTAATCACTTCTTAAAGAGCTTCTATGCTGGAATTAGTACTAAAAACATAACTAAACCATCACAATGTTGCAAACTGAAGCGGTTAAGAACATGAATTAAACCGTGTGACACTATTTAGGGTTGCGTGAAAAGAAAAAAAAGGGCGAGAATTAATTTAGGTGATAAGAAGCTATCACGAAAAGACACTGAGCGATGTTATTTTTTTCTAACAAAGAAAAGTGGTAAAGATTTTTTTTTCATTAGTCAAGAAAGTAAGATCTCGGATCTGCCGG